AATATTTTAAAGCATTACCAAGATATATTTTAAATAGGGTTGTGGAGAGGCAAGAGCCCTGTTTGACACCCTTTGTTTGGGTGAAACCCTTGGAAATTTGGTTTCCAACCTTAATATAAGCTTGGTTATCTTGATAAAGCTTTTTCACGGCATTTATATATACTGCATTTGTACCTGCGTTTTCCAATGTTGTCCATAGTCTCTGCAGTGGTACGGAGTCAAACGCTTTACGGAGATCTATAAAAGTGGCATGAAGTTCTAGTCCTCTTACTAATCTCTTTTCCGTTAGATGTTTGAGAGTGAATACATTGTCGACACAAGATCTCCCTGGTCGGAATCCACTTTGTTCTTCGATATCTGTGGCTTCTTTTTCTATTCTGGCTTTCAGAACTCTTTCATACAGTTTGCCAGTGGATGACGTAATGCTGATACCTCGGTAATTACTGCAGTCATTCCTGTTTCCCTTTTTGTAGATGGAGTTTATGTACGAGACTTTCCAATCTCTTGGGATACTTTCTCCTTGTAGGCACTTGTATTAAAATAATAAGATTCTTAAAAAATGTTAACACAAACAAAAACTGATAGTCACTAAAGTTGCTAGAGTGTAGCACACTCCAACAAATCTTTTTCACACATTCCAAGCAAATTTGCTTTTGACAATGAAAGCATACATAAGCTGTCCTTCTTTTCTTTTTATAGTGACAGTAGGAACAGTCCTTTCTTTTTTCTAATTTTTCCACTCTTACTTCTGGACGCCGTTGAGGATCATCTACACCCACTATCTCGCATATGCTCAACTTTCTAGGTAAAGAGGAACTTTCTAGTCTTCTGTTAACTGAGATTGCATAAGTTGAAATGCCAGTATATCAATAAAATTGAACCTTTCTAAATGACTATTATTTTCTAAAAGACTCATAAAGAATATAAGCATTTACTCTACTTATATCAAACATTCTGAAAAATATAGCCATAGGCCAACGGCGAGTTCGACGACTGCTTGTAAATTTAGCACATTTTTCGTCCATTGAATCGACAACATCATCATCATCATCTTGGTGCTACAGACCTTAGAGGGCCTCAACATTCTCAAGCTTTCTACGCCATTCTGTTCTGCCCCTTGCTTGCATTTTCCAGTTGCCGACTCCGATCTTCTCCGCATCTTGTGTTACCCCATCCATCCACCTTAGGTTTGGTCTACCCCGTCTTGTTATTCCACGGTTTGCGCTGTTAGAATCATTTTTATCATGTTCGATTCAGGGGCCCGGGCTACATGTCCTGCCCACTGCAGGCAGGGGATTATCAGTGTTCTATACAGCATTATACGAGTTTTTTGACACAGACGTTTGTTAGCTAAGTACTTTGATAGACCATGATAACACCTGTTTGCAATTATTATTCGCTTTTTTATTTCCTCAGATGTGTTATTATTGGGGTTAACCTGTCCACGTCTGTCTGTTAACTGTCTATTAAATGTCCACGTCGTCTGCATATGCTAGAATTTGGACTAATCTATTAAACATTGTTCCCCTGCTATCTAAATTAGTGTCTCGTACAACTTTTTCTAAGGCGACATTAAAAAGCTGACACGCCAGCGCATCTCCCTGCCTTAACCCCCTATGTATTTCAAATGGGGTTAACGAGTCGTTTTGTATTTTTACTGCTGATAAAATTTTACTACTGATAACATCTTCGCCATTATCACTTTTATCAAACATATGAGTTTTTTGGAATTCTCTACTCATTCATAGCGTTGTAAAGACTTGGTCTCAAGACAGTGTCATATGCCGCTTTAAAATCGCTTTAAAATCGACAAAAATATGATAGGTACATATCTAATTGAATCGACATCACACTTTGTTAAATTATAATCCACTATTATGTGTGTTTTTTAGTGTCTGTATCTTCAGTGGCTGCGTGATGAGATAATGATACCAAAATGACGGCTTTATTTTTATGTGTTGTGTCGTGAAAGTAAAGTAACGTGTTGTAAAACTGTAAATTGCCGTTCCCACTTCTCGTCGTGTGGTGGGTAAGAAGATAGGAGGAATAGGAGGATAGGAACATCAGTACAACACATAATTTTTATACCATACTTTACAGGCTTACTCGGTATGTACATTTTGAAGGGACATCGGCCTCTGAATCCCACTAACATTTCATCAATATAGGCTGAAGTTCCTATAGTATAGCATTCCTGACAGTTCTTAATAAATTCACTAAAAAATTTTTAAATTGGTGCTGCTGGACCTACAATACTGTTCTCTCATTTCTGTCTTCGGGATTATCAAATCGCAAACATGACAAAAGGAACACATATCTCTCTTTTGACATAATGCATCTCATTATTTCTCTTCCAGTTGCATTAGTAGCAAAAATAGTATCTAAGTTTTCATTGTTTGATTTATGTTGCTAAAAATCACAAAAATTCGTTAAATTCTGTCATGTCAAGGTCTTTGAGAGAAGGTGAATTTTGATTTTTGTATTTGGCTCTTTCTTTGCCGATTTTCACCTTCTTCCATCTAAGAATTATATTTCAAATATTATATTACTGAATAATATTTTCCAAACCTGCACAGGGTCTGCACTATCTTTAATTTCAGCTGCAGGGCGTAATCCAGATAACTGTAAAACTATATTCTTCTGTGGACGCCGGCCTCTATTTGAAGTGGGAGGATTTTTTGACCATTTGTATCTATTTCTACTATAGAAATAATTCCTTGTCTCTTCTGGATCGTCTTCTTCACTGCTTTGGTCAACATTATCTTCTCTATAAGCCTGTTCTACCTTATTTTCATTTTCTGAAACTAAAAAGAGAACTTTAGTTAATGCTATACTAAGCAGTCTACCGTCGCATTTCTACTATAGCTTACGGTCTGCCCAGGGATGCGGTGTATACGCTGTATTCAACAAAAAAATCTTTACAAAGTCAATAAAACGCATAAATCAAGAATTTCTTATTTAATTTTACAAATCAATACTTTCAATAAATAATTCTTCTACACTTTGCGTTTTATTCACTTTGTAAAGATTGTTTTTGTTGGTATTGTATACATGTGCGACTAATCACCATATTCTTTTTTCAGAAGGGTTTGCAAACAATAATGACAGGCACCTTTGTACACGAACTGTTTATTGCTAAGTGCAATAAACATTTATACTACTATTATTTAGAAATATAAAATAAACTATGCAAATGTAGTTTCTTTTCTAATATGCAAATAATACCCTAATCTTTTCGCAGGGTACCTATGCACAAATATTAACCCCAATTTTCAAATAACATGGCCTGGTAGATTTACTTTCATGTTATTTTACATTGATTTTGCTCCAAATGTTTATTACTTGTGAATAAATAATTTTTTCTACAAGATTTTGCTTGCATCTCATTATTTTGTACATCAGGTAGATTGCATCCTCGAGGTAGACCGCATACTACAGTAATACCGAAATTAGTACAATACATACATAATAATTCAAAGGGATTTGACTTACCCTCTACTTCCGATTCTACTGTTTCGTAATCACTGTCAATAGCAACATTTCCATTACAAATTGATTCAACTTTGCTTATGTCGTCATCTACCTCATCAAATCATTTCAAAAGAGTTTCCTCATAGTTTTATTCTCATATTTGACCTCCTTTGTGACGTACTAGGTCTCTCATCCATTTTCAGAGAAATATGTAAATACGAACACTAACAACCCGTCTATTAGACGGAAATCACACTTTAAATCTAATTATCTTTGGAATAACAATCTGCAACAAACTGTCGATCTCAATAGTAATAAATAACAACATAACTTGAAAAGTCGTAACGAGGAATACAGAAAACAACTAGAAATATTGCTCAAGAATATAAATAGAAAGACGAAACGGAAGAATAGAAAAACTAAAAACCAAATAGATCACGTGCTCATCGAAAAAGAAAAACAGCAGTTTATAAAGAAGATAAGAACATACAGAAGACCAGACGCTGAATCAGATCATTACATGGTGGGCATCAAAATTAAGCAACTGATACCAGAAAACAAAAACAAAATAAATGAAAAGAAATGTATAAATAACCCAATTCGATTAGCAACAAAGACAGAGCAAGAAATGTACGAATAAACAATGGAAAGAGAAGTAAAAAAGATACAAATAGAAGAGCAAACTGAGAACAAATGGGCAAACATAAAGCAAGTAATGAACAAAGCAGCAAAAGAATGTAATAAACAAGATAATAAAAAGATTAAAGACTGGTTCAACATAGAGTGCCAAAAAGAAATAGAATTTTACTAAAAAAACCATATTTTAGTTCACGCCCGACCACGTATGGCGCTAAAAGCTATACTGTGGGCACAGAATAATAAACAAACAGAATGCCCACTCTCCACGGAAAATTAAGTACGCGCATACGTTCCGCCATGTTTTACGAGGATTTTAAAGGGAACCAGTGTTGTTTATGTGGTGTGCATGGAAAAAAAACCAGATTTATTTGACTTACGGCAATCATAGACATACTATACAATTATATTAACAGTTCTAAATATAATAACATAAATATAATATAATTAAACATAAATGTAAACAATTGCATAACCTCACAAATCACATGTTTGTGTCCTAAAACATGGCGCGCGTGCTGAAAAACTTCAAAGGCGGCATCTGAGAGTGGCCCTTCTGATTGTTTATTATTTTGTGCTGTGGGTTTTATCATGTTTGTTTGTGTCACGTTTGATGCATGTTTGTTGTGTACAACCGTCAACCGTCATTTTGTACAACAAACAAAATGACAGTATATGACGATTGACGTATAAATTAGAGTCTGGTCTGGTAAAAACGTTATAAAATTTACTATACGTTATTGTTATTGTGAAAACCATAGATAAATAATAAGTCTAATATACAGGTATATTATATAAACCATAGGCGTAGACTGAGTTGTTTCCTTTATAGTTATAGAACTTACTAGAATTTATAGCAGCTTGTACTTTCGGTAAACTGTAAACTCAACCAAATGGATGTAAAACAAGAAATTAGCGAGGAAACGTTTAAAGTAGAAATTGAATATAATGAACTGGATAATGCTCTTTTCGATGGCATTAAGTGTGAAATTCAGGAGGAATCAAATAGGGAAAGTATACATAATACATATGATTATTTGGACTTAAATAAATCCCCCTCAAATACTGAAATATACCAATATAAAGATGAAAGTAAACTTAACCTATTTGAAGAAAACCAAAAAACTGAAACAGGTTAGTAGAACAATTCTAACAATGTACATATTTAAGTTCTCCTGTATTAATTTAGAAGTATAAATAGGAATAACTTTTTTACCAGCTAAAATACAAATAAGTGCTTAGTTAAATGATAATTTGTTAGTGAAAATAAATGTGAACAACAGAAAAAGACATATCTGATTTACAGTATTTGTGCCACAAACATTGGCAACTTGAGTTACAGCATTGTGTACTTACATTTTCAAAATTTCTTTAAAATAAGGCATGATATTCAATTAATAGACGCCACACTCAAATTTTGTCAGGTGAAAAAGCCGGAGTGAAGTTTGGTTCTCTATTCTTGCTTTGACTTATCTTTAGGAGAAAATTTCACTTAATGTCACAACACAGTAAGCTTAGAGCACATTTTAAAACATTATTATTATTTGAAATGTTTCCCATTTTCCTGGTTAGAACATAAAAACTATCAATCTCATTAATTAATGAAAGATCACCAATAAAACCTTACTTTCCACAATTTTTCTTATATTTCAATTTCATTTTTTTGCATTTAATGATTTTAATAATGGGGTTTACGAAAATGTTGTCCTCCATTGAGAGGACCCGATCTTACCTTAAGAGAGCTTGACTATGAAACTGAGCTATGACTTTTAGTAAATTCATAGTCATATTGTGACTATGAATTTACTAAAATAGTTAATAATGACAATAAAATTTCCTGGGCCTAAATTTTTAAAATCTATTCTGATTTTTTGCCAAGGGAGATCTGGAACTTTCTGTGAGATGCTCTCATATATTGGCTTTTAAGTATTTTTGACAAGTCAAGCAGGATAGTACAAAATTTTCTACATCTACTTTAAGACCTGGTCGATATATAGATTCGTGGTCAAGAAGTTTGGTAGAGATTACTCCCTGGTGAGCCAAGAATTCATGTTATAAATTTTTGGGTATAATAATTCTGTCCTTGTAGAAAAGTATATTCTTGTGAAGATAAATATCTTCTTTTAGTTGCCAGTGTACCTTCACTGATGATGGTAGGTCACATTTGTGAGATGGCCAGCCATTTTGAACATCATATTTCACTTTTTTTCAAGTCAAAATCTTTCTCATTTTGCAAAAGTTTCTCATTTTGTGTTGAAGTTACTTGTTGGTTTTTTCCATGAACAGATCAAATAAGTATTGTAGTAAATGGTGTGTCATTATCTGGATTCCAGGTGACATTGCATTGAGTGGTTTTTCAATAGACTTTTTAGAGATCTATGGTCACTTTGAATAGAGAAGTTTCTCCCATAATAATGGAAATACTCTACCTACTACAACCAAAAACAAGAGCCAATAGTTCTTTTTCTATATGGTTTGCTGTGTTGGTGTCAGTGATACAGATGCATATTCTAGTGGTTGTCCTTCCTGTAATATGACAGCTCCTATACAAAAAGGACTAGTGTCTACAGATAAGACAGTCTGTTGAGATCATAATATTCAAGAATGGGTGATGTAGTCACTAGTTGTTTTAATCGATCAAAAGCTCTCTGTTCATTAGCAGATCATTGCCATTCTATTTTATTTGAAAGTAGTTTTCTTAAGGTTGATCTTCACCCTCAATTAATTTGTTTCTATTCGTAGAGATGGCTCTATTGCGGCATGCTTCTGTGGTAAATTTTTTAACTTAAATGTAGATGTCTACATGATGACTCTGTAATATTTTCAAACACTAACATAAATTACAGTTTTCTATCATTATATCCATTGGATATACCATTACATAAACCAATAACATTCTTATTAAATCTTTTTGTAATCTGCCAAAGTGTTGTACAAAGTAATATACAAATGTCTATTAGGTAATTCAAAGAATGTGTTTGTAACAATCATATTATTATCTTGGCAGAATTGTATCAACGTATCTCCTCTTTGATTTCTATTATCTAATAAAAAATTTCTCACTACGTTGCTGGTGCTACCCTTTCCAATTTTGGCATTGAGGTCACCCATTACTATTGTGAAGTCACATGCCTTGGTAGTTCTCAATGCCTCTTGAATTTGTTCATAGAACGATTTTACCTCTTCATCATCTTTTCGGCCGTTGGGGCATAGACTTGAATTATGTTTATATTTCTGTCTTTCGTTTTTGGTTGTAGTAGCATAACTCTTTCGGAAAAAGGTAGAAAATTCTGGACGTGTTGTGAGATTTCATTGTTCAGTATTATTGCCATGCCATATCGATGTTGTGTATCTTTATTACCCGAATAGTATATCGTGTGGTCTCTAACTTTACATTTTCCATTTCCTATCCATCGAGTTTCACGTATTCCTAAAATGTTAATGTTAATTCTTTTCATTTCTTGGATTACATTGTGACTTTTTCTGGATTAGAGCATGCTGGTCACATTTCACATTCCAATTTTAAATTGACGGTCTGCTTTTTTCTTTTTCTGGTAGTGATTTCGCTGGTTGACGACCTGAAAAGCCCTGAATTCTTTCCTGCCGGCTCTTGGTCTCCGATACCCATGATCAGTACATGTCTGTTTACTCTGTCTTCTCATTTCATGACAATTCGACTAGGGATATCTTACGATCTTTAATACAGTGGTTCCCGTTGCCTTCTGTATTCTTATACCGTTGGCTAATGTCTTAGCTCACCCGCCTTTAGGACCAATTTCCCAACCCTAGGACAAAGGAGGTCCTAGGCCAATTTCCCAACCTTCCAATTTTACTCTGTTAACACCAAATGTATATTTCTTTTAAGTTCAAGGTTAAATTTGATTTAGAAATGTTTTTGCGAAGTTTTTTTCCGAATTGAGAATATATTCTACTACAGTTTTCCCATATACCAAAATGTCATCAAAGTATATCACTACACCTTCAAGGTCACTTAAAAGTATTATACATACATTTTTTAAATATTTCTGGTGCGAAACTTAACCCATGTAAGTCTTAATTAGCGATAGCAGCCAAAGAGAATTGATATAGTGCATAATAATGAGCTTTCATAATCCAAGGGAATTTGGAGAAATGCATTAGAAGCATCTAATAATGAAAAATATTATGCACCTGTTAGTTCAGAGAATAGAGTATCTTGCGTAGGAATCTGCAAAATTTCTCTTTTGATATTATCACCATTGATTATCACCATTTGATTTGGGAGCATAACTATTGGGTGTAACCAATCACTTGGTTCTGTTACTGGAACAATGCTGTTTTTAGCTACCATCGCATCCATCTTTTGTTTGACTTTATTTTTCAATGCGGCCGGTATTTTTCTTGTGGCAGCTACATGAGGAATTGTATATTTTCTTAATGTAATGATGATCAATGTAAAAAATTTGCCTATACTTGAAAAACCTTCCTGATATTTTAACACAACAGTGTTGTTTTTAACCTTTAGTTACGTTTAAGCTAACGTTTTTTCCTCGACGATTTTACCACTTATGTCACAAGTAAACACATATATTTAATTTCTGCAATTGCTTGTTTCGATTTTTTCCATCTGACATCATTTAATGTTTCATTATTGATGCGAACAGATGTTATAAATAATTTATTACACTTTCATTGTTGTATTAAGTTTATTTATCGTCAAGTACACAGCTCCATGGTCTAATGCGTAGTGGGTTTTCCGTCCTTTGACAGACGGGTCGAGATGGGAGTGTCTATAGGTACAATTTGTCAAATATAGGAAGAAGTTTGAAAATCTTACAATCGCCACGCCCACCTGATGCGCACTAAATTTATTATTAATATGGAATTTAAATCAAAATTAAATCGAAAAGTTTTGTCCGGTCAAAGCCGAGAAATTATAGCAAATGTTATACATTTTATGCAACAAGAAGCAAGGGACAACGTACCTCTAATAGTCTTAAAACAAGTGCAAAAACGTGTTGTAAGAGCAATGGGTGTAAGTTTATCCACGTACAAGCCATTTCGAAGGAAATGAAGTGCATCGAAGATGGTACTCCATCAACATTTGGTACTCCAAATAAAAAAGAAATAAGTCGGCTTTAAAATCCAAGTTGGATGAATGCGACAAAGGGGTGCTTCGTCGATTTATTATTAATTTTTGTACTACCGAAAAACAAGTTCCAACTTTACGACAAATACCTAGAAAATGTGTCGATCGGATAGCCAAGCAGGCTGGGCGGCTTGCTTCTCCTTCGCTTCAATGTGAGAGATGTCAGTTCAAATCCCAGCTCGGTGTACAGAAAAACAAAAAGGCTAACGCAGCAGTTTAAAATTCTATTAAAATTCTAAATGAATCTGCGGCTTAGTCTAGAATATGCTGGTATCTGTGATCGGCCTATGGTGGAGCAGTACGGCAAGAGATAAGGGCTTGCGGCTCGGTGATACTCATCCATAGATCCCTACCGGAAGGCTGTGTGCCACCTAAATACCGGGTATATATATATATATATATATATATATATATATATATATATATACATAAAAAATTTGCTACTAAGTACAACTACAATGGTTCGCGTGAATCATTGAGAAAAGCAATGAGGGATGTAGGGTTTCATTGGAGAAAAACAAAAACTAATAAAAAACTTTTAATGGAAAAACCGGAAATCCAACAGTTGAGACGTAACTTTCTTCGAGATATTAAAAAATACCGAGTAGAGAAGCGTCCCATCATATACATGGACAAAACCTACATTCATTTTTCTTATACTCACTCAAAAAGTTGGAGCGACAATTCCAATGAGGGATTACGTGCTCCGATTTCAAAAGGTCAGAGACTGATAATAGTGCATGTAGGTGGTGAAACCGGTTTTGTGAAAAATGCTTATTTGAAATTTAAATCAAACACAAAAACAGCTGACTACCACAGTGAAATGAATTACGAAAATTATAAAAAATGGCTTCAGGAAATGCTTATTACCAATCTTCCTCCACGTAGGAATCTTCCTTCAATCTCGACCGACAGTAGTAGTGATTTTAGTGATGATAATTCTGAGTCTGATTGTGATTTTTCAGGAGTTGAGCCTTTGTAAACATTTTACTTTTCTTAATTATTATTTCT